TTTTTTTTTTCATTGAATTTTGTAGACAAATATTAAATAATAATTATTTCGGTAATATTTTATAGACGGTATTTAAGTACATAATATATTTGAATTTTGAAATATAACGACTCGAAACTTTTGTTTATTATATTATAATCTATTATGTATAGAAAAATCTCTTTGTATCTAAACATTATTATGATTCGGGTCATAGCACTTCTAAAGAAAAACGAGATCGTGTTGTAAGTATACTTTCGGATACCCTTGTTGCATACAGTATTTTAATAATTTAACTAGAGAAAAATTGTTTTCTTTCTCTCCTCCTCCATCCCTCATAATGAAAAGATTCATAAAATATACAAAGATTTCTCCTGTGGTTGAAACGTTATTATTATAGGTAGATACTATTATTAATAATTATTATTTTTATTACAATTCGTATATACATATTAGGTAGGTATAGGTAACTTAGTATAACTAGGTATATTATATATTATAAGACCATGTTATTATTATTATTATTATTGTTATTACTATTATACAGTCCATCCAAATTATTGTGACTCTATTGTTTCCGTAAAAAAAAAATTTTTTGAAAAAAAAACCGTTAACATGGTTATAATATTATATTGTTTGTACTCTAGAAAAACGCGCTTGTTTTAATATATTGAAAACGTTTTTAATATTCGTTGAAAACATTTTTAATAATTACCCTGAATGAAAAATTAAAAAAAAAAAAGACAGTTTTGTATAAATAAATATAATTTTTAAGTGTTATTACATAATATAATAATGCAATATACTATGGTGTTTCGGATTAATCTTTTTTTCCCACCAATTGTTTAATACAAATCATATCAATCTTACAATGACAATTATTAATGACCACGTCAAACTCAAAGAATCTTCAGGCCCCATAATTTCGAATGGAAGTTAATGCTATACTGTTGTCTATTAGTAGGTGTAAAATACGTGGGCCACGAAATAAAATAGCACCCACAGGGCCAAACAGCATAAATATATTTGTTAAATATTTATTTAACATTTAAAGTTAATCAAGCTCCTTTAAAATACGAAAAATTGATTTAGTATATACTTTTTTAATCAAACCAGCTTTGATTGAAAGTATAAAAAAAATTAATTATTGGATTTTATGTTTGTCTTTTGATGGTAAATGGGGCTTGAACCAAAACATATTTTATGGTTTCTTCAGTTTTATCTTGGCAGTTGGCATACATTTTTAAATTTTCCCTGTTTTTTACATCCTCTGAAATTGTAAAGTTATATCATATAGTATACATATATTAATGAACAAATAAGTAAATTATGTGGATAAGTGCGAGTAATAAAAAGCTTGACTTAGTCAACTACATAACAATTTGGTAAGGTAAAATATTAGCAACCATAATTAAATTATCAGTAAATAAATTGCGTATTATCTGCAAGGTTCATAAATAAAATGTCTAATTAATGATTCAATGTTTAACAAAATTAGTATGTATTTAATGCATTTTTAATAAGATAATTAACTGAACTAGTCAATCTAAAATGCATAAGTTGTACCTATGGGTAATGTATTTTTACAATGAATACGCAATATGTATGAATAAATTGTAATAAAAAATTATTCCTACAATCATAAATCTACATTCAACTGTACAAAAAATGTATTTATTATATTATTGTTAGAATAACTAAACAGGACTCTTTTTATATAGATGCAGTCTATATACCAAATTAAATAATGCATATATATTAATTATATAATAAATATTTTAGGTTAGACAAAATCATATGTCATTATAAGACAGATTCTCCCATTAAAAATGTATTTTAATATAATATCATACATTATCATACTGCGTGACAATGAAACGTATTGTGACTGTGGTTATGAATCCCAGACGATCAATCACATCATCACTGAATGTCCAATTCACGCATTTAAAGGCACCATAGAAGATATCCACCTGATGAAGGAAGAAGCGGTGGAATGGATGAAGAACCTGGATGTGAAGCTATAGCATGACCCGTACATTCACCAAATGGGGAACCCCTTATCTATTTTATGTATTATGTTTTATATATTTTATGTTTTATGTTTTATGTTGAGTTTTATCACTGTTGACCATCTTTTTATTTTAATTATGTAGATGTTATATCTTTTAATATTCTAAGTGTTGTTGATGTTGCTCATTGACGCCATACGAAATAATAATAATAATCATACATTATATTATTTATAGTAGGTATGTATAAATATAAAGTATATTATATTCTAGTAGTTATTGGGTTTACTTTAATTTGTTTATCAAAATTAAAAAAGATAGTCTGCTGTACAGTAGGTTACAAGTGGGTCACTGTATAATGGATAGTATTAAATTTGAATTCGATGATATAATATCATTGTATAAGAAAAACGATTCTGAGCGGAGACGGTATGTCAGTCTAGGTATAAGACATATTATATACTTACCTATCTATCGTATTAAAAAAAAATTACCTATAATAAATTCCAAATTAATCATATCACAATATCTATTAGGTACTTATAATGCGTTATACTTCAACAACAAACCTTGATACTATCATTGTCCATTCTCCGCATAGATATATAATAGTGTAATTTAGAAGTTTCAAGTACTCGCGAATAATATTACACAATCACAACAAAATAACTTGATGCGGACCTGTGGGGTGCCGCGTGGCCGGTGGGTGAAGGTGACCAATGAACAACAAGAGAAACGCACTAATGTAATAAAGTGTTTATTTGTAGTCAAAACTCAAAATCATACAATGAAAATTGCGAAACGGTATCGATGGTGTTAGACTCGCGGGGACGTGTGTCACGAGGTCCGTGTCCGGGTCGCTGAGAAAAACAAGTGACTTCAACAATCCGGTTCGCCGTACGGCCGGCCGACGGTTCACGGCGCGGGTGTCCGTCGTCGATTGGCGGTTTGTTTGAGAAGCCACGGCGCGGCTTCCGCGTAAAGGCTGTTTGAACTTTGAATTCAAACTGCCATTACGCGGGACCGTGTCAAATAGTTGTTCTAGGCTTTTATTTATGTAATTTTGTCCAAAGCTGAACTTAAAATGACTATAAAAATAAACTGTACTTATGTATTTTTTAGATTTTTTGGCAACAGAATTAACTACTTACGTGGAATCTTGTTTTAAATTGTCAATCCTTAGATATAAAAGTTGAACATTTTATACATTTTTAACTACAAAAAAATTATTCAATTTTAAATTTTATAAATTTTGTCAACATTTGATCTTTAAATGCTTATAAAAAAAATTATGCTTATGTATTTTTAATATTTTTCAACTGATATTGTAACAATATATTAGGAGCTTTGCATAACATTTTCAATCTTTTTTACCCAACAAATAAAATGTGCCTAAAGAGTTCAAAATAAATCAAAACAATTTGAAAATGTTATCGTGTATAGAAAATGCTAATATAAACATTCAGTCGAAATTGCATGTACCTACGGTCATTTGTTTAAGAGTTGCACCAAAAACCAAAATCGATTTTTTCGAAAACAGATTTTAGTGTAAAAATTCCAGTTTTCCTTAATTTTTATTTTGTTTTTCACGCCGCTTCTGAAAACTACTGGGAAATTTTCACTTTTGACCCCCCAAAGTACCAACTCGGAAAAGCTACTGTTGAAGAAAATCCAAGCACTTTTACTGTCCTAAAACGTGATGACAGACACAAAAAAAAATTTAAAAATTTAAAAAAAACACACCATCATTGTAAAATCAATACATTCATCGTTCCAATCAGAATCTAAAATAATATGTCGTTATTACATGCAGGTATAGAATGTAATAACTGTGCAAAATAAAATTCTATTTTTATCGTTCAAGTATGAAAATTAAATAATATAAAATGTATAAAAATTTGAAAATATCAATCAAATAATGTATATATTTTATACTAACAGCTGTAGCCTGTAAGTCGGGTGTATGTTAATTAATTCTTTATTCAAATTCTGGTTTAAGCGTCAGAATATTGTAACGATAAGTTATTGATAAAAAAAACCAATACATTTTTAGTTTGAAAAATATTACTTTTGGCACGCTAAATTTGTGTTTCATCCCACTGTGCGACCACCAGATTCTGAAAATTGGAAAAAAAATTCTAAAAATAACTTGAAAACTAAATTATCGACAATATAGTTATAGTTGTGTATAATATAACGTTTCGCCACAACTCTCGGCCATTAATACTGTCGTACTTAACTGTAACAGTGTAACGCACACTCGGCCGATGCTCTAAAATGCTGTAATAATTATAATATAGTTCAGTCACTGAACTTCAGTTTGCTCTCCCCGGATGGCAGGAGGGGGCCGCCGTCGCCGGCAAGACCGACCCGCCATCGGGAGGAGTTTTCAAATGTTTGTTATGTGTACCCAGAAGAAAATTAATCTGTTTCTCATACTTCAAAGTTCAAACGCCAATTTCAGAAGCACGATGTAGGTAAATTTACCTACATCGAGCTCAGAAGTCATATTAGGGTAATTATTATTTTTTTGTATTCTGTATATTCTTTAATATTGTACCTAATTTAAATATTTAATAATATTACAGTAGTTTATTACCTAATCGTACATAATTAATAAATAAATAGAATAGATTAATACACGATGTAGAGAAGACATCGTGGATTAATAATTGAGTAATGGTGTTAAATATTTTAAATATTAAATGCTTATCTGCTTAAGTGCTTAACTGTATGTCTGTATGTTACAGCTTATTTATACACAAAAATTGAATGATTTTAATGCCACCTTTAAGAATAGAGATGACAACAGTAATAATTCAAGTAAATCGACTGTCAAACAATTAAAACTCGATGAAGTTGGAAAAACTGTAAAAAAATTAACTCAAACTGATTTTAATGATGCCAATTTGAAGTTAATTATAAACACAGTTTCACCTTTTACGTTAATTGAACATAGAATATTGCAAACCGACATCACAAAAAGTACCAGTATTGCGAAGATCATTTATGAGGGATGTGGAGAAACTATTTGAGGGTTTAATTAAAGAAATGAAAACAGAATTCAATAACATTTCACATGTTTGTTTAACGACAGATTGTTGGTCAGTTTTTCATAGGTATGTATCATTCAATAATTATACCTAATATAAAATAATTATAATAATATATTTATTCAGCAAATAGTATTTTTTGTAACAGATATATCACTATGGATGTAATACGGGTGTTGTTTTTTGATACATGTATGCTTAAATGAATTGTTTTTTTTTTTATTAATATTTAATTGTTCTATTGCATTTTTTGTTACTTCAAATAAAGGGCATTATATGGGTGTGACTTTGACTGGCTTGACCCAATAAACCTCGTAAAGTCAAGTAAAGCTCTTGCATGTTGGCGTATGTTTGGCAGATATACATTTGAAAACATAGCTGAGCTCCTGGATAAAATTCTAAATGAATTCAATTTGCAAAAAAAGACCACACTTATCGTCACTGATAATGCTGCTAATTTTGTGAAAGCCTTTAGGTATGTACACAATGAATAATAATAAAATACTGAATATAAATGATAGATGGTGATTCAACAAGCATGCTCACCTCCATTTTTTAAAATTCTGATTCTTAGAATTTTTAAATATACTCATAGACCATATTTTCAAATTCTTGACATTTTTATGTACTACTTAAAGAATGTACTGGTACCCCATTTCTACTGTTAATTATTTAGTGGATAATTTTTTTGAAAATGTTGATGTAGGTACCTAATTAAAAATTTGAATGTGTAGTTTCTTAGTTATTAAAATGTTTGTATTAAAAATGGTTTGACATAAACATAAATTAGACATAAATCAAGATATAGTATTTATTATACTGGGGCCATTTTTACAAACTATTAAATATTAATATTGATGACTTCAATTTACAAATCGTCATAGCCCCCATATCTTATAAACCCATTGGCCATTACCATGAACCTTTTATCCTTAGAAGTTAGAATACAAAGTTAAATAACTCAAAAACTACTCAAATTATGATTTTGGTACATAATATCTACAAAAAAATTATCTACTGTATACTTTATAGTCAGATAGGGGTATTCTCATTTGAAAAACAGAAATTTGTATCTCCATAGGACACTCCTTAAGTAGTAAAAAAAACTCAAGAATTTGAAAATATAGTTTTAAAGCTTATTTAAAAATTCCAAAAATCAGGTTTTGAATAACAGCATTATTGAAGAAATTGCTTGATGAATCACCATGTATATAAAAATAATACATTGGTTATTGCAATTTGAAACCATTCAACATTTTTTTATTTAGGATTATTTATGGAAATGATGATAACAACGATTTGATTGTAAATGAAGAAGAAATTGCTTTTTTTTTTAGAATTACTAGTAAATCTATGAAAGTTGTTCAGAAATTACAATATTAAAATTACACTTTATAATTCTTTTTCTTGAATAAGTCCTTTTTCTAAATATGTCTCCCAATTTGGTCTTTTAATATCTGTTTTATTATTTAAGAATGATATAACTAATATTTACTATTTAGGTAATAAATGTAATGTGTACATATTATACAATGATATCACAGCAAAAATTAAGATACATTAACATAAGACATACAATACACATTAATTAAGATTATTAAGTGCAAATAACACATAAATACAATTTGGTTAAGTTAGGTTAGGATAATATTATAATTATTGAATAATATCCTGACTACAACACAAAGTTACACAGCGAAAAACAAATAACACAAAATTAACCTTCAAATTTTTTTTCCTAATTCCTTCTGCGGGAAATTTACGGTTCATTGTATCAAATCATATCATTCATTTTTAGTGTAAACTCTTGTGTTTCTAATGAGCTCTTAAGGCCATAACTCATTTGTGCACCATAGAATTGTATACATACTGCCATGGACTTACTAAATACCTGTTTTTATGATCAATAGTTAGTTAATTAATTATTAAGTATCACAAATTAAGATTATCTGTGGTATAGATATAAAATAAAATAAATTGAATTACTTGTGTAGTTGTGTTGCATATTTCACTTTCATCTTCGTAAGACTGTTTAACTCTATATGATGTTATTTTAAGCATATATTTTGAGTCATTTTCCAAAACATATCCATAATGGTCCCAACTAATACACTCCATGTGAAAAAAAAAGTTTTTATTCATCAAAAATATTAAAGGAAAAAGTATTGTTATGATGGAAGTAAACAAAATCGTCCAATTGTCAACTTAGGGTGGTGATATATGAAGGGCAGCCAATTCTGAATCACAAGAACTATCAATCGATTCATACGTCTACAATTTATACAATTCATAGAATTAGCATTTTCTTTTTAAAAACAAATTAAACATGGCATTAATAGGAATTCTCAAATTCACAACTTACTGTGGTCTCTCCAATACCACAACATGTGGGCTGGGGTCCACTTTTAATCATATCCTACAATTGTTTATTTATTTAGCACTATAAGAAGCAATCGGTTGGAGTGTGGGAGTCGTCCCAATGGTTGGAATGGCTGTCCTCGACCTTTGAGACCGACTCTGCGGCGCCCTTATCGTCAAGGAACTCAACCCACCACATTCTAAGGCTGGTGTTCTCCTAGGTGTGTGGGGGACTATAAATATAACAAACATTATTAATTTTATTATTATTTTATTATTAAACTGAGATATACACTCACCGAGGCATTGCCGGGTGGTGTGGCCAGTGAGGTTACCTCTCATTTTGTCACCATTCCGTTGTTGGCCTTGTTCATTCTAAAAATAAAAAAGACGAAACATTTAGAGGATGTCAGCGCAATATATTTGTTTTTCCTCTCCGACCTGTGCAACGTGGCCATAGTATATAAAATATATATTTAACTACTTTGCCGAAAAGCGCGGGCAGGTGCTTATAAAAAACTAAGACCCCTAGGCTAAGTTTAAATATTAATTCATAATTACGATCCGCGTTGGATAAAAACAAGCTAGTGTTATTATACTCATTCTAAAGTTAATAAATAAAAAGAAATAAAGAAAATGTATAGTAAAACGAAACAATAAATTTGTTTGACAAAAATCACGTGTCGCGCACAATACTAGCCTATTATTTTACGATCCGCGTTTAACGTGTTAAAAAAACAATCCCCCGATGTACACTTGGCAATTGCCTCTAATGTTCTATACATTGTTACTCATTGTAAAGTTGATAATTAAAAACATATAAAAAAGTGTAAAGTGATAGAATTTGAGGGCATTATTGTGTTTGTGGTATGATAAAATATTTTATTCGTTAAACGGAAAGCATGTGTTACATTATTGGCGATTCCAAACGAAGTAGCTGCCCTCTGATGGCAAAGATAAGAACCTCTGAAATGTAGGTACTGTATACAGCGTCAAGTGTATTATTGTTCTATACTTCTATATGGTAGTATAGAAGTCAGTGTTTGTTGAATATTGACTGTTTATTGGCAATTTTTTCCCATTTGGCATTTAAGTATTAAACTCTACCTGCTACCAGTTGCCAGTGAGGAAAATTAAGATATGGCTGATCACAATTATGTTTCAATAAACGAATGTGCAAAGAAATATTGTAAGCGATATTGTTGCACTCCACAATGCAAAAATAAACAAATGTAAGTCTACCTAATTTTAGCATAATATTTATTATATGTATTCTTGTCTTTCAAACTTGATACTGAGTGTATTTAATTTGGAGTATTATATTCGAAAGCTAGTGCTTAGTGCTAGGTAATAGAATAAGTGTTAGTTAGTTGTACTGCAGATATTATACCTACTTAAAAATATATTATATTCATATTTAGTAATTATTTTTACTACCATTTACCAGGTCTACGTCATCTATAACATTCCATTCCTTCCCTAAACAAAAAGATTTGAAATTAAAATGGAAGACTGCTCTAAAAATTGGAAAAGAAGTGCCAAAATATGCTTTTGTCTGTTCTACACATTTTGATGACAGTGATTTTATTCCAAGCTCAAAAAGTAAGGAATAAAGATTAATAATAAATAATATAACAATCAAAAATGCATTTTTTTATGATAAGTATATACCATGTACCTATAGCAAGTTCACCAGCAAAAATAAGAAGACTGAAGATTGGTGTAGTACCTTCAAAAAATTTACCTGTTCGGTCACTGGACAAAGTGCTTTTAACTCCAACAAAAGAAAAAATCATTAAGAGAGCTGAGAGATTGAACAAACGTCGTCAAAATAAAGAACATTGTCAAATTTTATTTCAAAATGACTGGTAAGATAAATTCAACAACTACTAAATAATTGGTTTGAATAAATTCTATTAATTTTTTGATTTGTATTTTTTCAGTTTACCAGATACTACACATATTACTGATGTAGAAGAATTATCTTCATCTTCTACACAAACTGATGTCTTGACCAAAGAAAAAACTACAGTATTATCAAATGAAATTAAAACTGTCGATAAAGAAGTCCAAGTTAATACATTTCATTCCGATTCTCTTTCAAGAAGAAGTATTATGGATTTGATAAGAAATGATGAAGATTTAGTTGCACTAACAGGGATACCCAGCATGGACAAGTTGTTAAAACTTGTCAGTATTGGTGAATTTGTGATAAAAAGTTTAAATTATAATATCAATTTTTCTCTTGATATTCTTCAAAGAATAGTGTTAGTATTAATGAAGTTAAAACTAAATACATCTTACAAATGCTTGGCAGTTTTGTTTGGTGTTTGTAAAAGTACTTGTACAAATTATTTTTACGAAACAATTGATTTGTTATATTTAATTTTAAAACCTTTAGTTTTGTGGCCTTCTAAATCAAGTATTTCTAAAAATATTCCTAAATGTTTCATAAATTTCACAAGTACTAGGGTCGTAGTTGATGGAACAGAAACTCCTATTGAAGTTCCAAAATGTTTGTCATGTCGAATTAGAACTTATTCTTTTTATAAAGGTAAACATACTATTAAATTTATGGTAGGCATTTCTCCAGATGGCCTAATAACCTTTGTTAGTAATGTGTATGGTGGCAAAGCATCTGACAAACATATATTTGTAGAAAGTAATATTTTAGAAAAATGTGATATAGGTGATGGTGTTATGGCTGATAAAGGTTTCCTTATTGAAGAGGAATGTTCTAGGGCAGGTGTTAAATTATTTCGTCCCCCTTTTTTGAAAAAAAATAAACAACTATCTTTTGAAGACGGTACTATGAACACAGATATAGCTAGAGCCAGAGTTCATATAGAACGAGCTATTCAAAGATTGAAAATATTTCATGTTTTAAAAAATAATATGCCCTGGAAATATTTATGTAAAATTGACAAGATTGTGTACATTATATGTGGAATAGTTAATATTTCCCAACCAATAATTGGAATAACTGGATTTTGAAAACAAATATTTATATATAATGATACAAGCTAACTATGAGTTTATTTTAATTCAAATTCAAATTTTACATTGTATACATTTACACTCTATTAATTATCTGTATTAAAATGTACTTTCTTACAAATATATATAATTATAATTAACATATTGTCTATGGTAACACAAATTATTTGGTAAAAGTTCAAAATTAGTATTAAATAGGAAAAAACAGTACCTAATTCATATTTTAATCAACCGATCTTGGTGTCTAACTAAAAAAGGTAAATAATGATTAAAATAAACGCAAATTAATGTTTGATACATATTTGTGCAATACTCGTAGTCAAACTCAATTTCAATTTGTAAAACTGAATCGTTTATTTGTTCATATAAAATTAGGATACCCGTAAATAAATTACATAATAATAAGCCTAACTGAATTTGGGCGTAGTACTGGTGGTTTTTTTTAAGCTTTATTTTTCCTGTAACTTCATCAAATAAGATGTATTTTAACGTTTTTATTAAGTCTATTCCTGATTTTGATTTTCCCGCAACTGGACATTTAATTTCTATTAAAACAAACTTGTCACCACATTGATAAAAACCATCAGGGCTAAACCCAAGCCACGGACAGCGATGATTAATAATAAAACCAAAGGTTTTGATTTGAAATCCCGTAAGTCTTTCAAATGCTTTCTTAGCTTTGTCCTCATAATTTTTTCCAAATTTAGTCGCCAAATTTCCAGAAAAGGTGGGAAATACAATCCTTTCAAGTTTATTAAGCCAAGCTTCAGCAATAACACCATTTTTTCCATGGTAAAATGTATACAATGCATAAGCAGATGTACCTGTTATCCTTAATTGACGAACCTTTAACCACAAATTACTATTTTGTGATAAAGTATCAACAATTATTTTTAATGATTCATCTTTTCCAACATTAACAACTGAATTGTAAAATTCAATAGCATATTTTGAGCAATTTTCTTTGGATTGATCTACAATATTAACTTCATTTATAATTTCCTGACAAGTGAACAATAGCTTTTTCACAAAATCAATATCACAACAACGGGTTTCAACTGTACGAGGCTCATGACGACCTTTCATATGTATAGAAATTGCAGAATCAGGAAAGTCTACAATAAAAGATAAGGTTTTTAAATTTAGTATCATGAATTAAAATATATCTAAGGGCCATTCTTACAATGTCCAGTTATTGGTTATTGTCTGATAAAGCTAACCAGTAGAATTTCTTATGTGTTAACCGATAGAAGTCTACCGGTTAGTCTTAACCGACACTTAACTGGACAATGTAAGAACAATCCTTAGAGTAAATTATTAAACCATTAATCATTTATTTAAAGTACCAAAGGCAAATATTACAGTGGTAAATACAGTAGGTAATAAAATAATAGACAATACTTAAATACTAGTACTAAACACAGCAATAAAATAATAATCCATACAATTACATGGTTTAAATCTTCCCTTAGTGACAGAACTCAATGTATTAAATTAGGTCCCAATATATCTCAGGGCTGCAACTCAAATAATGAAATAAAAAAGTGAGAAAAGTGATTAATTTTTTGTTCAATACTGAAAAAATATAAAATATATTGTAGTAATGTTTAATTTCCAAGAATGTTTGATGTGATTTTGTGGTCCCACAATATTATAATCGATAAAATTAAAACACAAACATTGTGAAGGATACCAATAAAATAAATTTCTATTTAAGTTTTATTAAGCTAGCTATATTATTTATTTTGAGTATGCAAGGAGAAAAAAAGTGTAGGTTAGGTTCGGTTAGGTATTTTCTTATAAAGGTGATTTATACCCATACATTTATTTACCAAGTGTAAATACCTTTGTACAATGGTATCCACAATATAAAATAAATATATTTAAAGTACCTACACATAGTTATGTGGCATGGTAATGATCTGAATGGCCTGCAAACATTTTGGCACCAACAAAAAAAAATTTTAAATAATGCCCCTGATTTTCATTGGGTATCGTCACGTCCGTGGCCCATGGGTATCGTGTTTTAATCATAGATTATATATATCTAATCAGTTTAATTACTTCCTAATGATTATTTAAAATATGAGAGACCATTACGCCGCACCATTATCAAAGATTTTAATCACGGATGTATCACGACTATTATAATGGTACAATACAATATATTAATATATTATATACGAATATTGTTAGGGTAAAATTAAACTAACAGAATTTTAAAAATTACATGATTAAAATTATTTTTGGGGTCTTTTGTGAAACATTATAATAAATGGCTATAAGTGAGAAAAGTGACAGTTTTCGAAATATAGTGACAAAAAGTGACAGAGTTGCAGCCCTGATATCTGATAAGTTTAAGATGGTCTTTAGGTAGTAAGTATACTTAAAAATTCCAAAAATCAGAATTTGATTATAAGCATAATTGAAATATAAAAAAATAGGGGTGAACATACTTAAAAAATCACAATAATAATCACTCCTAATAATTCAGTGCAACCTATTTTATTACCAATAAGATCATAGATAAAAAAAAAATATAAAACATTTTTCTTCTCAATAATAAAGGACTAATAACTACCTACTTTTAAATAAAATAAAGAATTAGTAAAAAATTAGTCAGAATAAATTTAAACAAATATTGCAGATACAAACATTTACTGTGACTAAAAAGAGAATTTACTTACCTAATTAAAAAATAATAAAAACAGTAGTGTCCGGTTACACAAAACATTTAATGAATCAATAGTGAGCTAAAGGTTCCTTAAATACGATTTAGTGGCCTACTATTGGTCCATTAAATTTATAAATTGTTTATGCAACCCAGCATTAGATGATAAATGACCCCCTTGAGGTATATCCAAATGAATCTTAAAACTTATCAGATATATTGGGATCTAATTCAATACCTTCAATTAAAGTTTCATATACAATTTTCTCAATATTATTTGGTAATACATCTGGCAGAGTTTCTGAATATGGAGAAATATACTTTTCGACATGACAAAATTTTTTTACTGGGATTGTTTGATACATCTCAGTTCCAATACTTTTAAACTTTCCCCACTGTTGGCGTAATTCAGTACAACTCAATTCCTCCAAACTGTCAATTGAAGTTCTGTAAATATTATAAAGTACTTAATTACTATTAAGTATATCAAAGTTTAAATTCTTTTAAAAAAAAGAATACATTTTTTACTTACTTCTGTAACTTAAGCATAACGCCAACAACATGCTTACACTTCCCTGTGCCTGCTTTACATGAGCAGGAACCTGACACCTTCACATTACCTTCATGAATAGTTTTTGTTACTAAAACTTCATGAGGATGACCATTAATGTTGGAGGTTTGCAAACACAAAGCCATAATAACAAGTTTATTTTTTGTTTGCTCTTTTATACCAAACTCTATTATGTGGTTACATTTTAATATCTCTGAACCCTCAACAAACGGACGTTTACCATCACCTACATAGTCCATAATATCAATAATTTCAATTACAGACATATTTAATAATTCAAAATAACAACTAAATTACAGAATAATTTTAATATTATGTTAGAAGCTGTATAAGTGACTTGGAGAGTGTTGACTACACTCTTACTGGTGACCATTACTCATTACGAGTATTACCTACATTTCATTATCAATTGTGATAAGAGAAGAGCGCTCTCTATATTTGCTTGGAATCGCCAATATTGATTGATAAATATACCTACGATATGCAGCGAACGTTATAAAAAACAACAAATTAAATTAAATTAATAATACACTATACAATCACGTGTTGTCCGTTGTTTTTGCTGTTAGCAGTTCTTGCAAATAAAACAATTGTCACTGCGAGTTGCGACCGCCGACCGAGGACCGACCAGTCCAGTACCAGTAGTACCACAGACGACTAGACGAGTGACGACTGACGGCAGTCGTCGCAGTTCACTGTCAACGCAGGTAACCCATCCAGATAATAAAATCGCATGGCTGATTAATTATTAATTAATTTATTGTATTGACATAATATCATATGAACATTAATTATTGATTGATACACAAGCAAACATGGTTTTCAAACATTCCCTCCTTCGACAGAATTTACCGCCAAAACGGTAGGCCTTATCACCAAACGTTTATCTTCGATCCACGTCTCGCTAACAGCGAATAACACTGTAGGCGCGACTTTTACTTATAACGACAACAATTATTAGCCCGAAATCGGAAATTCAAATAATTCACGTTTTTCAAATATATTATACCAGGGGTACGACACTCCGTGAATTGGTCGGATCGGGCGATTGTGGCCTTGAAAATGGTCTCTAGAGGGGCGTGGCATACGTTACAGTAAACAGTGGAAACAATTTTTCTATGCTGGAAACAACCCGACCCCGCGCAGAATACCCTGCCTATTAAGCGGAAACGGTTTTTCAATACGGGTATAACATCATGTTGATAAACGGAAACAGTTTGAATGTTCGGACTTCAGATCATAGGTAAACACTTCACCCATCAGCTGATCGAGTGTCGCTTCTATATTGTTCTATGATTATACGCCATAGAAATGTTTAATGCTTATGTAGGTCCTAGGTCGTATTGGTTATTGGTTAATATTACATTATATGGCTTTGGTTATTATGTACCTGAAGTTTATTTAATGTCTAATTATATTTATCATGCATTACAATAAATTGCACGTTTATAATGATGCGTTATGACTTATGCCTTATGTAGATGCACGTAGATATGAATGTCGTTTGCGTTGTGTACTTGATAAATCTATTGACAGTGGCGTCCGAAGGATTAGCCACCCTCCCCACCATTGACCGTATTATTATTACTTTAAAAAAAATACATATTTATCAAGTTTTAACTGTCAACTATAGTAAGCAAGACGTAAATTTCATATACGTCTTACCAGAATGAATTCATTTTTAAAAAAACATTGTGTTTGCATACAATTTGTATCTTATCTAGATAATTTTTTTGTTATGCGAGCTCAACAATGGCTATATCTCTAGCCTTTGTTAGTGACTCTATAAAAACTTATACCATCAACAACTAGGTACCTACCTATAGTAAATAATAAACTAAAACACTGAAATTATATTTTTAAACAAGTGAAATACATTTTTTTTAAGCGCTCGTTCTTTGAAATACTTAAACTCAATTTCATTGGGCATGTGTTTATTTTAATTGTACTTCATAATACAAGCTTATTATTGTAGGGCCAAGCACATAATTTAAATCCAATTTTTTTACCATTCTTAATCCATTTACTTAGAACTGCTTCCACGGAATTTTAATTGATAAAATGTACAGTAGAGCAGGATGCCATATAGGTAGTTGTATAATTTGTCAATTCCTACTTAAAATAAATAAAAACAACAAGTTTCATATTTAATGATTATAATTTAATTATAACAATATTCATTGGCCTAAACATGATGTTTACAAGTGTAGGCAATGATGTATAAAATAAAATAGATTGTTTTTATTAGTGAATATGTAGACAAAACAGTTTTAAATAATCATTTCATACCATCCCTCTCAACAAGAATTTGATTTAAAGTGTTTTCTTGTTCAGAATGACCACCTACATTATGACCTCCTCTTTTTTTTCAACAGCATAAATTTCATCAATAAATAATATACATGGAGCATGTTTACGAGCCATTATGAACATATCTCTGACTCTTGATGGTACTACCATTTTATTGTTCTGTGGTACTACTGAACCAGAAACGTATAAAAACAACACCTGCTTCACCAGCCATTGCTTTTGCGAATAATGTTTTATTCAGAGGTCCTTAGAACATAATAATATTATGGAAAATAAGCATATTATTTGTAAATAATTTATTAACTATACTAGAAATTCAAGGTTTGGTATAAATGCAGTTTAGTACCCACGCGATTTTTTCGATTTTTTTTCTCCCCAAAATGTGTGTTTTTAAGCACTGGATACAAAACTCTAAATTCAAAAATTCTCTTAAATTATTATTTTGGAAGTTATATCTTTCCAAAGTTTGCGATGATTTTACGTATTTACGCATGCACTTTGCTTTCCTACGTTTTCGTATTGGATTGTTGCCTCTTATTAACTATATGTTATTTTTCTTCTTATAATATTATTATCTAAAGAAGTTTTGGTGAAAAATGT